GGCTTCTATTTTTCCATTAGATAATGATGAAGTGCAAGATGTCTACGTCAAGTTCAACGTCACCTTTATCGTGAAATTCTTTTACGTAGTAAGTTGGTTTTGGTCTGTGGAATCACATCCTAAAAATCAATAATTAGCAGGAATGGTGCACCTGTTGGGTCAACACGTTTCTTAAGCCACATTCTACTTGAGACACATTTCTTTCAAAGAAACAGCAGCCTACAGATTACTTAGAAAGCTCTCATCGACAAGGTAAAGACGGATTTCATCAGTCATGAGTTCGGAACGTGATCAATTGTATTTACGGACGATTTTTCAGATGATCCGAAGACGGGGCATATCATATGGCGTCGGCAGGGGCAATCTCAACTGGATGATTTTAATCGACTACTAAGGTGTCAGCTCTCAAAGCAGCTCTGATGGGTTATATCTTTACTGCTAAGGAATGTTGCAAATTCAAAGGCGTTTGTAGATCGACTTGAATGTTCATTGCATGCAGGTGTTTTGGACATTTTCGTAAAATATCATAAACTGACCCTGTTGCGACTATTTTGCCTATGTCAAGACCAACTCTAGTAAACGATAAGTTCTTGTATTTATAAAATCTTTTACGAGAAACGCTGTGAATCACATACAAGCAGCGAGATTTAGCTTCTGACCTTTCTCATCCAAATAAATATACTTGAAACAATGCTTTGCCAAGAGCGTGAATGATTTAGCTTTTGACCTTTCTCATCCGAATTAGATTTATTTGAAATAATGCTTTGCCAAGAGCGTGAATTGAAACTGTCACATTCAAATCACTCGGTTCTATACTCCGCATTAAAGATTGAAAGAAAGGGCAAACACGCTAGTATCCAGTCTCTTACAGAATGTCTTCGAAAAAATAAAAATATCGGGACAATCCTTTCCTTCTTCAAGTTGGACGCTAGTTCAGCTGAGGAGAATCACATCGTCCATGTAAGAGCGGTGCTCGAGTGCATGCGCAGGAACAAACTGTACGCCAAAGCAGAAAAGTGCATCTTTGGCGCAGAAGAGATTCCCTTTTTAAGTGCTTCATTGGGAAGCGTGG